CTCTCTCTCTCTCTCTCTCTCTCTCTCTCTCTCTCTCTCTCTCTCTCTCTCTCTCTCTCTCTCTCTCTCTACTCGTTCATTCCCCCCTCCTCTCTATACATCCTGAACTGCCGCCACTGCCACGCTTAACCTGGCAAACGGAAGGCAGCTGGTTCCCTTACTTGCCTCTGATGCGCAACCCAGCTTTATCCATCCGTGTGTGGGTGCCATGGTCGTCAATCACCAGAGTAAGTTGCCCCTTGCCTATCAAGATGACACCTCTGTAATCACCGCCGCTGAGATAACTTCATTGTGTTGGAGGCCGTGATCACAGCAGTACTATTTCTGAGAACCACACAAGGAAGAATGACAGCCACATGGCAAAAAGAAAGAGAGAATAACCACACGGACAGCAGTCAATACAAATTTGCGTCATCAGATGATGAGTATGAGCGGAAGCGGTGGGGGGGGGGAGGGCGGGGAGAAGATGGTTGTCATGGTTATGGACAATTCAAAGAATATTAACTAACAACAGTTGGCAAAAACACTTTTTTATAATTTAAATGATTTTCTGCTGTCTTCTCCTCATATAGGGGTACATGCTGTATTTTTACTACCCTATTTTCTTCCCTCCATATTGGGTCTACCTCACATTACCTACCTACCTACCCTACACTACCCACTAATCTATTCTCATCTACCTACCTACCCTACCCTACATTCTCCTCATATAGGGGTACAAGATGTATTTTTACTACCCTATTCTCTTCTCTCAATATTGCATCGAAAAAAAAAAAAAAAAAAAAAAAAAAAAAAGACCTCACGTGTCTAGTATTGGGACTTGCCTTGTCTTTGCACTAGTCGGACCACAATCCCGTTTCTACGCCAGGAGGAGTATCCCTGAATCATTTAAACCACTGGCAGTACTTCCTAAAGTCGTGCCCGTTAACGCGCCATGATTTTAGGAAACGTACGGGCCACTACAGGAGCGCCCAAATTCATCCAACTAGAAACGTTTCTACTCTATTTTTGTCCGCGGCCCATAGCTGGGCCAAGTACTGGTGGTTTTAAGACCAACAAAAAAAAAGAGTATCCCTAGGTTATGGGTCTATGCCTGCCTAAGTCTGCTCGGTGCGGGGAGCAGCACCCAAGTTCCTAACCCCTGGCGCGGCCTGGAAAGAATCGTCTATACTTCCACAAGCAGCTTCATGAGGGACAAGCCGACTTTCTAAGTCGGTGAACGAGAAGTATGCCACACAGGGGGTCGTGGGGAATCGAATGGATGCAGGGGGGAATCGAAGCCACCACCTCCTGTGTACCGACCACTTACGTGCTAAACCAAACTGAGCGAGGTCGCAAGGCCTCTGGTAAAGGCACATTGTTAAAAAAAAGAAGAAAAAGCGTTCTCTGCTTTCAATACGATCGGGAAAAAAAACAATCTGCAATTATTTTCACTTTGTGTATGATTGCCTTGGGCACTGGGCCCTAATAAATGGAAAAAAAA